TCCAATTAATAAACAAATTCCTATAATAGTAACAATGTTTTCACTAACAAATGGTGCTAATGAAAATACAGTTGAGTAATCTATATTACCAAAAGATCATAATATGGCAAACATACCTATAGTTAAAAAACAATCACCTACTCTATTTGTTAAAAAAGCTGAGATAGAACTTTGATTTGCTGCTATTCTAGTAAATCAAAAACATACTAAAAGATATGAACAAATTCCTACACCCTCTCAACCTACAAACATAAGTAAAAAGTTATTTGCTGTTACTAGAATAATCATCATAAAAGTGAATAAACTTAAATAACTAAAAAATCTTTGATTGTGTGGATCATGACTCATATAGCCTATAGAGTATATGTGAACTAAAGAAGATACTATTAGCACAGGTATTAACATTGATACTGTCAATGAATCAAAATGAAAACCTCATGATACATTAAGTGATTCACTATCAATTCATCTAAAAAGTTGAATTGATACAGGTATATTATTTAGACCTACCTCAAAAAAAGCTACTATTGCTAAAATTGTTGTTACTATTACAGAACTACATGTTATTAATTGTGCTCCACTAACTCCGACTTTTCTACCAAAAAACCCGGAAACTATTGACCCTAATAATGGTAAGATTATTATAGCTAGATACATTATTTAAATTCTATTGCAACACTTCCTCTTAATCTGTAAAATGCTACTAGAATACCTAAACCTATTGCTGATTCTGCCCCAGCTATCGCTATTACATATATTGCATAAGTTTGACCTAATATATCATCAAAGCTAAGTGAACTTACTAAGATTAAAAAGGTAATAGCTAATAGCATTATTTCAATTGAAATAAGCATTAATATTATATTTTTTCTATTTAAAACAAAACCGAAAATTCCTATTAAAAATAAGATTAAAGATAAGTTCATTTATTTTATATATTTAAATCTAAAACAGATGAGAAGTAATGGACCGAACATTTAATCTAAATAAAGTAAAAAAAATAGACTAGAAAAAAGATTAAAAAAAGCTGCACAAAGATAAACAAATATAGCAAATTTAAGATAATACTAAATCTAATCATCACCTTTAAAATAGTCCATTAGTATAGGCACTAACCATATAAGGATAAACCAGAAGAATTCTGGAATTTAGTTTGAGTCTGTAAGTGAGCCTCTACCATCGCGCATAAAACTATCTTTGCACCTTCTAGCCGCAACCCTTAAATTACTCTCATCTATAGGTAAATTATCACTAATTTGACGATAAACTAAATTAGGTTTGATCTGTGTGTCCAAAAAACTTTGTCATGTAAACAAAGCATCTCTCTCCCTAGGAGAAATATGCGATAAATCTAGGATATAAAAAATATATCCTAATCTACGTGCAAGATTTTGAAACACAAAAACCTGATTGTAGTACAACTCATTTATATTCTGCGCTTCTCTTAGACCAGCTACTGGAATACGATCTAAATCAATTAAGCCGCCAAATAAATTTGTGTATTCTGGAAAAGATGCTAATGTATCTTGATCGTATAAGTCATTATTTATTCACTCAGCATAAAATGAATAATCATGTGATGACATGAAAGTATGTAATGGTATATTATAATGTAGTATTCAGTCATTAACTATTTCAATTGTATAGCTTCGTACCTCATTAATTTCTCTTCGTATTAAACTGAAGTTATGACGACACAGATCATCAGAGGTAATCCACATATTTATTCTATTTACTATAACATCATTATCCGGTCTAAAATCCGGATCGTAGAATAATCTAGATACGTCATACATGTGTCCATAACTGCCCAGTGAAAGTATTTTACTTGAGGATTTATTAAGAGGTATAAAGTCTTTATTATAATGTAATCTTTTTTTATTATACACCCAGAGTACTAGTTGAAGATAAATTTTCTGCAAGTAAAGTTTTCTTAGCTTCATGTAATTCTTCTTCCTTCTCATTTAAAGATTTTTTTATAGCTTTCTTAAGTACAGGTAAATCAGCTATACCTGGAACACGACCTTAAAAAAATTTTGAACATGAGGATTTTTTCTGAGATGATTTAAGTGACTATTTTTTTCTTTTTCAGAGACAGGTAGTTTATTATCTAACTTAATAGCATTATTTACATTTTCAATATCTTTTTCAAGTTCCATTATTTCTTTTTCTATTTCAAAACTTTCCTCCCCTCCCTCATTATTAGAGGAATTAACATACTATACATTTCTTAAGATCCTCAATAATAAATGGATATGAAGAGAAATAATCATACTACGTCAACAAAATGTCAATAAAGTATTCCTGATTCTAAACCTAAATGGTGATTTTCAGTTAAGTGATAAGCTAATAAACGTCAGAATCCTACTGCTAAAAACGCAGTACCTATCATCACATGTAACCCGTGGAAACCTGTACCAAAGTAAAAACAAGATCCAAATACTCCATCTGAAATAGTGAAAGATGAAACTGAATATTCTATACCCTGAAAAGCAGTAAATATTATAGCTAAAACAATGGTAAACACTAAACCATATAAAGCTCCACTTCTATTTCCCTGTATTAAACAATGATGACTGTAGGTTACAGTTACACCAGATGATAATAATATTACTGTGTTTAGTAAAGGTAACTCAAAAGGATTAATTGCCTCAATACCCATAGGAGGTCACATACTACCTAATTCAACAGTAGGTGATAAAGCACTATGGAAAAATGCTCAAAAAATTGCTAGAAAAAATAAAGCTTCAGATACTATAAATAAAGCTACACCCATATTTATACCTCTTTGTACCGCTAAAGTGTGATTACCTAAATAAGTAGCTTCTGAAATTATATCACGAAATCATAATGACATAGAACCAATTACAGTGATGATCGCTAAAAATAAACAGTATATTTCACTAACAAAACCATGAAATGTTAACACAGCTGAAGTAGTAAGAGTTAGTAAACTAATACTAGTATATAATGGTCAAGGAGAAGGGGAGACTAAATGAAAAGGATGAGCCTGAAAATTACTTCTATTTAAATTTGACATTAAAATAATCTCTTTTATCTACATGCGTAATATTTTTTTATTGTGATAATGATAGAATCATCCTTATGCTAATGATCCCATCAAGATTATAATTTAATTATATTTTTGTTTGATGTATTTAATATTAAAAATAATATTAATCTATAATATAGCCCTCTGTGCTAGATACGTGATAAACTCGAATTATCATCCTAATAATTTATTTTTATGAAGATAATAATATTAATTTTTTTAGTCGAAAGGGCTAGCCAGGAGAGAAACTCGAATTCTCATTCTTAATGCATGAAATTAACGTTCTACCAATTGAACTATCCTGGCTTAATTTTTTATTAGGATAAACAAATTAAAAATTATTAGGGAGGATACCCTGAATTGAACAGGGAACTTACTGTGCCACATACAGTTGTTCTACCTATTGAACTATATCCACCTATAAAATAGTAGTATATATATATTTATGTTGGAGTGATTCGAACACTCAATAGTAAATACCAAAAATTTATGACTTACCGATTAGTCTACAACATATGTTATATTATTGTGTGTATTAAAATAAAAGATATTATAGATTAATATTTGTACTACCCTTTATATTGTGTGTATTAAAATTATTATATCTTATGTGTATTAAAATAAAAAATATATTTATATATACTAGTTTATTATTATAAAAAGTAGTATTAAAATAAAAATATTATTATAAATTTTTATCTTCTATAGTAAGTGGGAAATAGTTTACTTGTTTATTAAGTAAACTTATTTTTATTTAAATAAATTACACATAACTTATAACACTTAAACAAAAAGAATAACAAAAAATGTTCTCGAAATTGATATGTATAAAACTTTTTTATATACATCAATACGTCAACAAAGTTTGCAACAAATTATCTAATTCTATAGCCCATAGGTTTGTATATATCATATTAAAATATAAGTTAAAATAAGACAGATAATTAAACTTTATATACTTATATTATATTCTATAACCTTTATATTTAACAATCTATGCTCTATAGATTATGGGTAGTAAGACTTGAACTTACACGCAATTAAAAATACATCTCGTCCTAAGCGAGACCTGACTACCAAATTCCAGCATACCCATTAATTTTACATTCGCTTTCCTCTATCCTTACCCTACCCTTAAGGGATAAATACAATATAATGCTCGAGATAAGATTTGAACTTATAGCCTAAACATCTTCAGAGTTCCGCTCTACCAGGTTGAGCTTCTCGAGCTTATGTCTATGAATACTAGTATTATAAAATAAAAATAAATTGGAGATATTAGGTCTCGATCCTAAAATAACGATATGCAAAATCGCAGTTTTACCAATTAAACTATATCCCCTATTTTTTTATGATTTGTCTTTTTTATAAAAGAAGATATAAGAGCCATTATCTTAATGGTGTTAAATTAACCCAACCGGGGTTCGAACCCAGGAATGTAACGGTGAAAGCGTTATGTCTTAACCACTTGACTATTGGGTCCTTGCCTCCAGTATAAGCATAAATTTATATTCCCTAAAGGGATAGAGATAAAGGATTATAAAAATGTTTTATTATATTTAGGTAATATCAAAAACTGCTATAAACAGTTATAATTATGGCAGTTATAAATGTATCCGAAAAACGACTTGAACGTTTACGATATTATATCAATAAATCTTAAGTTTATCCTGTCTACCAATTCCAGCACTCGGATCAATATATATATAATTACATATAATAAGGCCAGAATGAATCGAACACTCATCTGAGCTATCATGAGCAGCTTGCTTTACCAATTAAGCTATAGCCTTAATAAGTTTAAAACAATAGTGCGGACAGAGGATTTGCACCTCTATATACTGGACATGAGCCAGTTATGTTGCTTATTACATCAATCCGCATCTATATATATGAGATATATATATCATTTGTTTTTTTGATCATGATAAAAAAACAAATGGAATAAAGCCCAGTAAGGGGTTTGCACCCTTAGTCTTCCGATTACAAAACGGATGCATTACTAATTATGCTAACCGGGCCTAATAAATAATATTTGTGATAAGTATGTTATTTAGTTTATAATAAAATTAGTAACTTTATACCTAAAGAAATTAAAATCATTTCAGCTAAAGCCTATTAAATGGCTTTTATTAAAAATTTTTTTATTAAATAAAATTAATTAAAAAAATAAATTTATAATAAAAGTAACATTTTCGTAGTGTTATACTACATATATTTAAGAGTATTTTAAGGTAAGTTTCGTGCCTAGATGCATTCAGCACTTCTCTTTAACAAGCATAGCTTTCCTGCCGTGCCTATGTTATGTATATTTACTTGAGTAAAGTAATACCCTTACTTTTTTCAACATTCCCATAAGGGGAGATGATGACTAATATTAAGCTCATAAACAACAGGTAAACCAGAGGCTTCCATACCCAACTCCTTTCGTACGAAGGGGCTATCCTTATTTTACTCTATTTCGATCTAGAAGATAGAAACCATACTGTCTCACGACGTATTTAACCCAGCTCGTGTAGCTCTTTAATCGACGAACAGTCGAACCCTTCATGATTCCTGCATTCATGTGGATGAGCTAAGCCGACATCGAGGTGCCAAACTGCGCACTCAATTTGTACTCTCTGGCGCAATCAGCCTGTTATCCCCAGCGTAGCTTTTTCAATAAGACAAGACCTTTCCTTTCTGCGTCTTGCGATCTTTATGCCCCGCATTACGCGACTGAAAGACGTGTAAGTCAAACAGTAAAGCAAGATTAAGCCATTAAACTTTTATAGTAAATATAAAGATCATTTTATTAATATCATACTAATAAAACAACTAAAAACACTACTAACATTAATTAATATTTTATTTACATCTATTTCCCATATAGTTAAAATCTTACTTAATATAAATATTATAATTCTAACTCAATAGAAAATGAAATGAATTAGTTTTTCAATATATTGAAATAACCAATAACAAACTAAAAATAAAAAACATCTTTTCTCTTATGTGAACAAGATAACTTTATCTCTTGTTTTAACAAACAAGCCGTTATATGTTTGTTTAATACTTTACAAAAATTAACTTTGGATATACCCAGGTACTTTTTGTGGGATCTGTGCCCCGCATAAACCGTCTCCTAATAGTAGTCTCCATTACCTGTTGGATAATTATAGTAGATCTTTACTTTCTACTGGTATGATAAACTAAGTAAAGGTGTTTCAATTTTATCTTATCAATTACCTTATACACTACAACCTGCTATATCATACCTGACCATTAGTAACAGTAAAGCTGCATGGGGTCTTCTCGTCTATCTAGATCTAGGCAGCATCTTCACTGCCAATTCAATTTCACTGAGCCAATCATTGAGACAGCTGTTGTATCGTTATGTCATTCATGCAAAGACATCATTTAAATGCCAAGGTATTCCGCTACCTTAGGACCCTTATAGGTAAGGCCGCTATTAACCGGGGGTTCCTTCAAAACCTAGCCTATTTTAGTCAACTAAGTAAATCCGTTAACCAGCCGGCATCGAGCAGAGCTCACACTCAATACTTTGATTTATCATCTTACGCAAAGTGCTGTGTTTTAATTAAACAGTCGTACAACACCATTATATGTTCCCTATTCTTTATCTGATATTAATCAGGAAGAACGGTACTCTTTCTACACAAAGGTACAGAGTCAATTTGCCGAGTTCCTTAATGATTGTTAGCTCAAACGCCTTCGTATTCTCTACTAGCTTACTGGGGTTAGTTTCTAGGTACGGTTTACACCATGTAATGTTTTTCCAGAACACTTAATACTCTAGGACTAAAAGAGCACAATGTCTCATGTCTCATCTGTTTTAGTTTATTTCCACTATTCATAGAACTTACTTTCAGTCTTAAGGTTGTAACACTAATGGAAGAATTACTCATCGTTTAATCCTTTAGGACAGGTCTGTAAACTTAGAGGCCGTTACTTTTAATCAACACCATAAGCTTTAGGCGAGGGGTTACCCTTTTCGCTACTCATGTCAGCATTATCACTTGGGTTATCTGGTTAATAATAAGAATACTTTTTGAGTAAAAGTACTCTTTCCACTCTCTTGCTTATTAACCACTTAGAGAATTTTCTCTTTATTTTTTTCTAATCTTAAAAAGATTAAAATAGATTTGCGCCCAACGTTCCGCTACCCCACAAATATAATAACTCTCACTTATCCTTTATCCTTTAACGGGAGGTGTAGTGAATGCTATGCTATCAAATATTTATTAATATTTATGGACAAGGTTTCGGTATATTGTTTAGATCCGTTATATCTTCGGCGCTTTTAACTTAAAAATTAACTTTTTAATTTATTAAACCAGTGCTCTGTTACGAGGTCTTCAAAAAATGGCCGCTTCTAAGCCTATTTCCTGGTTGTATTTGAAAAAAACTTCCTTAATTTCACTTAACAATAATTTTGGAACCTTAAACTCTTGTTCTGGGCTGTTTCCCTTTTGACATACAACCTTATCGTACTATGTCTGATTATTCAACATTCATCATTGCCCTTCCGAGAGCAAATACTCACCGATAAAATCTTCACGATCCCCCGATGTGTACAAAAATTTAACCTTTTTGTCTGAGATCACAGTTCTGTACCTGCTATGATGTTATTTGAATTACCTACTTATATAGGTTTCGCGGAAAACCAGCTATCCTAGTCAGTTTTGTCTTTCACTAACTTACCATAATTCTTCGGATATCTTTACAACGATAACCCGTTCGGACTTTTATAATCCTGATCATGGTAAGATCACTAGGCTTCGGGTCTAATTTTAGATACTACTTCATTATTTCATAATCGGTTTATCTAGGCATTTCTGCTCGCATCTAATATTAACTTGCTGACCCATTATACAAAAGGTACGCTCATATTATTTATTTAAACTTTACTTGAGCTGCTTATAAAACTACTTTTTCAAAACTTCCCTTTCGGTACTATCACTATCGCTTATATATCATATTTAGCCTTAGAGGAAGGTTCCCCTATATTCAAACAGATTAATAATCCATTTTACTTATTTTATAGGCTTATCCACTTTCATTCACACTAATTGTAGAATCTCGTTTGATTTTTTTCCTGAAGTTATTAAGATATTTCAATTCACTTCGTTTATTCACAAAATTTCTCTAAGAGTACATCGAGCCCGGCCACCCCCACCCCGGAAGATGGGGGCTAGAGGAGAGCTCAGAACTCAATCTCTTTAATATATAGCTATTTATCCAAAATAGTTTCTTTATATACTTTCCATTATATCAACATGTATTAATAATGAAATAATACATTACATATCCATATTATAAATAAAAAATAAAATTTCTTTATCGGGTCATTATGATTCGAACATAACTATTCCTCAACCCAAATGAGGCGCCTAACCAACCTGGCTCTAACCCGTAACCCATAAGGGATCCCTTATGGGAATAGAATTTATATAGATAATAATTACAGAGAATATCCGATTCGAACGGATGTGGTGTTTTAAACCAAATAAGTTTCAAGCTTACCGCTATAGACCACTCAGCCAATTCTCTTTTTTTATTATTTAATTTTTTTAAGTTTTTATTTCTTCGATTTTACAAATCCATATTGAAGGGAAATTTGGGGATTCTCTATAAGAACTCACATAATTTTCTAAATCTTGTTTACTATAATCCATGTTTTATAACATTAGTATAAATTGTTCAGTTGCTTCTAATCAGGCATTACCTGATTTTTTTAAATACCTTATATAATTTGATAATCTATCTAGAAGAAATTTACAAAATAATAGTTTGTAAAAAGAAGAATAATCCCTTATTCAAACTTTGTATGAATATATGATTCTTTCTATATTAGTATTAATGGCGTTAATGTAAAAAAGTCCCTAATTGAATAGGAGAGTTTATAACACCGCTTGGTTTAGCTCACTGATTAATGCAGTATGGTTACTATAAAGGTGTTTACCTTGCAACCTACAGTTTTACATATGAAGATTGTAAATTTTTAAATAATATTCTTAAAGAAAAGTATAATCTTAAATGTACTGTGGTAAAAACAGGACATACTGGTCAATGAAAAATAAAGGACAGAAATAAAAATGCAAAAACTAATCTAGAAATTATTGATTTATCTTGTCTTGTATTGTATTGACGGCATTTGATAATAAAACTCAAATTTTAAAAATAAACATGTGATTCCTCGACGACTCGAACGTCGAACATACTCTTATCAAAAGTACACTTTACCTATTAAGCTAAGGAACCTATATATATATTATATATATTTTTTATATTTAATATATATATTATATATACATATAAAAAAGTTAGTTTTTGGTAAAGGGCTAAAAACAGCAACGATTTAAAGCGAAAAATTTAGAGATACTTTTTAAATATTTTAGGGCGAAATAAAGTATGAAGGTGCAACCTATTTTATAAGATATATACCGTTAAATTTATTATTGTAGTACTGGAAGTATTAAGCCCGCTCCCAACCTTGGGTAGTGTCATGACAACAGTAGGGAAGTATGCTAATACCTATATGAAGCATTTTCATCAGGAAATCGCCTTACTACCTTTTGTATCTTCCTGTATAAATAATTCTAATCTAAGAGCCAAACGTCAGATTCGCACTTATTTATGTTGTTAATTAAACAGCATATTTCTCTTCTACTAATCGGGCTTTAATAGGGGACAAACCCTTTAACATATATATTTACTTTAAAGGGGCCAATATTGAATAACATTTTTAGGTTAAAAAACGCACGTTACCAGTTAAATTAAATAACCTCAAATGATTTATTTTTATTATACCTCATTATTACTTATCCCTTGTCCCTTTCCCTTCTACCTAAGTGAAATTAAAAAAAGGAGCAAATCTCACCCTTAAGGGAGAAAAACCAGAAAAATGATATAAGAATTATATACACAAGAGCACCCAGACTTGAACTGGAAATTTGAAGTTTGAAGCTTCCTATTTTACCAATTAAACTATACTCTTTATACACCACAGTTGCTATTA